CTCTTGTGTCGAACAAGGACAGCGTAGGCGCTGCTCCCAAACGCCGACTCGGCCATGTCGCCGTAGTCCAGGTAGGTGTGGCCGTTCCTGTTAGCGAATATGTTGTACCATAAAAAATAAAACCATTTCGGAATGCGCCGCGCATGCAAGTTTCAATCAAAAGCATATTATCCTTCTTGGTGAACTAATAAATATTCCGTGAAGGATACTTCCCGGAATTGCGTGTTTCGCTCATATGCCTGGCTTTTAACCAAAATTCACGCTACTCCGAACAATTTTCTAGCCCTACGAGTTCGGTTCAGTGTTACAGAAAACATTTGACAGGGCGGAATTATGTACTGTCGTAGTTCGCGATGTAACATACGCCACTTCCTCAAATAGTCATGATATTCAAGCTGGAGAGTATGAGAAACTTACAGGCGGGATAGATATTGTGAGCATTTGACGATTTTCATCATTGAAATCGTGCTTATTCCTCCAAGAAAAAAGACAAGGAAGAAAGACATCTGAAAAAATTTCTCAGAACGACTCAATTAAATTTCGTGAGCATTTGTTTCTTGTGTGGAAAGAGTTGAATCTTCGAAGAATGCTTAAGCTAGTGTCTGTAGGCTGCTTATAGCGAACATAAATCTACTACCCACGACCTTTACGCCTAGTGCATAGGAAAACTGGAAGGAAAAGAAAAAGGAGGAATGCATAAACAAAAAAACAAAAAAAATGAAAAAGGGCAGCGAACGAAAAGGGATTGTTAATGGCGATTGGTTCTTATGTAAGGGAAAATCTCACCCATAGGCCGCCTTGCTTGAAAGCCATCGCCACCGAGAAACATCCTGGTCCGATCATTCCGACAATGACTGATGGCGTAGGTTGCAGCAACGGTTAGTGGAGTGGGTGGATCCCTTCCCATTTACTGTCTGAGCGAAAATCACATCCCGAAATCACCGATACCAAGCAGATTTATTTATTTTTTTCAAACCGAGTCGGCATAGTGGCAAATGGCACACTATCACACATGCATAGTCGGCTGCATTCACTTTCTATGTATACCTCGCTACGGTTCTGAATTTAAGCCGATTGAGAGGGCTTATTCTTAAAACGGAACTGATCTGTCGAAGAGGATCTAACTTGGGTAATTTTGAAGATTCTGCAACCATTTCAGAACACGCTGGATCTTTCGACGGTCCCGGATGTAAATATGAAGTAATAATCACCTAGTGTATTTCACTGAGTCTCCCCCACCCCACAAAAGCCTGGCACTTTTAGGCTCTATCCCTTTCAGAAGGATAGGAGGCACACTCAGCCTTGGCAGTACCTGACCGGCTACCATTGAGCAGATCTAGCAGCATTGTACCCTACCGCTTGTTTGCAGAAGAAAAAAGCGTACAGGACTATATGTACAACATTTATTCGAACATTTTACACTATAAATAAATAATTTACCGCTAATTTACCATGGCAATGCTAAATTACATACAATTTTGTACAAAAACAATAACAAACGATGATACTAGGTTGGTAACTGAGTGACTGCGTGAATTTCTCCCGAAGCTTTCGAAACATTCATCTTGAAGTTTAGCTACCTGTATTTTGAAGTAACCTATATTTATAGACAATGTACCTGAGTATTTTATGGTCACTTTATAAGTAAATAAAAACTTTTTTTTCCACTAGTAAAGAGCCTACTCATATTATCTTTGGAATACGCAGTCACTCAGCTGCCAACCCTAATACTTGACCTATAAATGTCTCAGACGCCGTCTTGCAACTCCTGGTGGTACTTCATATGTTTCTGGATATCCGACCCGTTCTTGAGGTTCAAATTGTTGAGTCGACGATGGATGAACGATTGGTTCTATAAAGAGATTCCTCATGGCAGATATTGAGCCAGGATGAGGCCACGAATCAAATAGGTCAGAAATGATTCCAATCTCAGGAAAAGTCACTTACCCTGGCTTGATATCTCGTCTTCTTTGAATCCATCCACTTCTGCAACTCGGTAAATCCCACGTGCAGGGCAAGAACAATATTCGGCATCAAGTCCAGGTATTCCAGGTTTACCAGGCTGCAAGTCATACGATTAATGATTTCGCTCTCAAGAGAACCCTTATAAGCCCACAGACAGCTGAGTTGAAGCGAACTAGGTACCTTCCCTGGCTTGCCCATTGGACCTGGCATGCCAGGCCTGCCTTGTTTGCCTGGTGGACCAGGTAGACCATCTGGTCCTTCTTCAGCAACACCAGGCTTACCAGTAGCCCCAGCTGGACCTGCTTTCCCGGGAGGACCACGTGGACCCGGCATTCCAGGCAGCCAACGTGTTCCTTCACGTCCAGGCTTCCCTGGAGGTCCGATTGGGCCATTCGCTCCTGAAAAACATCGACTCTGAACCGCTTAGATGGTGGGGCTGTCGGTTACATACCCGGTGCTCCACGATCTCCACGAGGGCCTGGTGGCCCCGGTTTTCCTCGTGCAGTCTTGCTCACACCAGGTACACCGGGAAATCCATCCCTGCCGCGGCGTCCGGGTCTTCCAGGTGGTCCTCGGCGGCCAGGTTCTGAATTGTGTTGTAAGGTATAAGTGTGATTAACCGCTTATATGTAATTAGAATGGAAGTGGTCTGAAAAATACCGACTTCCTGCAGGACACTTCACGCAATCCTTCTGAAAGTATATCGCATATGATTCAGCACCAACACCATCGGGACCTGGGGCTCCGGGCACTCCTGGTACTGTAAAGAAGACAAATTGTTAAAAAGTAGAGTGATTACTTCTGAATAAAAGACATATTTAAAGGGAAAGTCTCACTTCCGTCTTCTCCCTTGAATCCAGGTTGCCCAGGAGGGCCAGGCGGGCACTGTTCGCTGGGTTGGACTGAGCACTCTGAAAAGACAAGGTCGCGTTCGATCGCATAGAAACACCCAAGTTCTTGGTAATGGTCACTACAGGGGAGGCAACATAAGAAGGCTGTTTAGTCTCCGGGAACAGGAAGAGAGAGAAATACAATACGATTAAGCCATATCTTGGGTCTTAAGCGGAACAAGGCTTAACTAGCCAGTGGAGGGTAAAGCTGGGGTCCCATGCCTGGATTTTCAGCCATCATTTGCGAAAAGTTGTGACCAAAACTTTTAAGTCATAGTTACTGAAAGAGAAGAAACTTGGAAAGTTTTGTCTGAAACGAATTGTTCGATACTTAAAGTAACTAGGCTCAAGCTTTTTGGCAATCTCCTTCTTGAGTGTGGTCTTGTAGAGCAGCCATGTGTCACCTACTAGGGAGACATTAGATAACCTGAGGACAAGGTATATATAAGGGATGTAATTTCTCAAACTTCCTTCTCTTCCCCAACGAACTGCCTGCCTTGCTAGTTTCCTTTACTTTTCCCTTTATAATTTCCTTTACTTCTCCTTTACTCGCTCCTTTCTCTTCTCTTTTACTGGTTTCCTGGGCCAATATCGTCTTGGGGGTCATGTGTAAGAAGCGGCGCGCGAGCATAATCAGAGCGACACGGCTCAGAAGAACCCTGAGCTTTTGTTCCTTTGTGCAACTTAATTATAGTATTTGATAGCGTGATAACAAAAAAGTCTGGAGGACAAAGAATATGGTTGATTCCTGGCAAAAGTGACAAATTCCGATCTNGTTTCCTTTACTTTTCCCTTTATAATTTCCTTTACTTCTCCTTTACTCGCTCCTTTCTATTCTCTTTTACTGGTTTTCTGGGCCAATATCGTCTTGGGGGTCATGTGTAAGAAGCGGCGCGCGAGCATAATCAGAGCGACACGGCTCAGAAGAACCCTGAGCTTTTGTTCCTTTGTGCAACTTAATTATAGTATTTGATAGCGTGCCAACAAAAAAGTCTGGAGGACAAAGAATATGGTTGATTCCTGGCAAAAGTGACAAATTCCGATCTCAATATTACTGCAGTAGTCTAGTATAAACGACTTACTGCATTGTGGCAGCGGCATGGCGGCTTTCTTTTCTCGTTCGACTACAACATCAGCCGTAGGACTTCGTTCTTGCCGAATGTCCATAGCCATTATTTCTGTCCATGCATCATCCGTGAGAGCCTACATTGTATCCAGTTACAATCGTAATCGAGTACCATTAAAACTTTGTAGCACGATTTATTTCTTTCGGCTAGAATCTGGATTGATATTTGCAAAGACTGGTCATATTACAAGCCTCCTCAAATCCTGTCTATCATAGCCTAGGAAAAACTCTGACTAATGATGGTCATCATTACTTTTTTCAAGGGTTTTCCATTTAAATTCGATCCATAAAATCGAATCCGCTACGGAGTTAAGCCATTGGAAAAGAATTTTGAGTTCGGAAGAGCCCAGGATTTTCAGAATGTTTGTCTGCCAATACGGTGCTGTCAGATGAATGGAACCCAGCCGGAACTGATGGCCTCTTTATCTCTTCGAAGTCATAACCAAGCCTTTGGTGCAGGCTATTCAAGGGGGGGCTATGTTGTAAACTGATCATAAAAGGTAATGAGAAGGAACCAAGCCTCATTTAACCCTCTCATAACGTTTATTACAAAGCCTGCAAGCGTTTTACGGATGTAGACCTTTCCTCTCGTAGAGTGGGGTCTCGTGGGAAAAATAATCCTCCCTAACCTGACCAGGAGTTACAGCAATTTCGGTCTGCCAGGAATTTTGCTCCTCCAGTGAAATGAGGCGATTCTGTTCGGAAATGCTGAGCCAAATACGGTAGTTCAGGCTTCTATTTCCCATCTCTCCCCTGACCACCCACATAAATCCCCTTTCGTTCTTTTTCGCTGGCACCCCGAAGAGGTACAGGTTCTGCGAAACGGGCTTCACTGCCATTTATGACGTGCGGAGAATAGCTTTCCTATCTGACAGATATCATGATATGTTTGCGATCGTTTCAAAGATATTTGGCCTTCTTTGAGAGAAATTCCAATCCCTGGGAAGAGATTTAAACGAAATTCCCGGAAATAGAACCGAAATTTACAGCCGAGTGGGTAAATTATTAGGCTTTCCTGCACTTAAACTTTGCAAATATCATATTTATGTCATGGTTCATGGTGGAGTCACCTTTACAGCAGAATTACTTCCAAAACAGAGAACACAGAAGCACATATTTGAATTTGGGCTTAGAAAGTCGAAGTTTTACCTTGAACGCTTTCATCTCCTCCATACTGTTGTTGTAGAATTCGTTCATGTCACCACAAATTAAACCGGCAAAAATACCACAAGCTGCCATCATGGCGATGCTTATCGTTACTGATAAGAACGTTGCTATCGTAACCCTATCTCGTGTTCTGTAGGGCATCTGTAAAGGTTATAGCTCTATCATTATATCCTCAGTCATTTGGCGGAACCGCTCATCATCCAGTATGACACAAAACAACGAACTAATTCAGGTGACCTCAAAATTTAGTTTAAACGAATAAATTGAGGAGCATTTTTGGAAATGTCACAAAAACGAAGCTTGCCAGAGAACATTGAAGTCAATTTTTGCCAAGGATACGGTAGCTCACTGGCTTTATAGTGTCTTGAGATTCCTCGCTATATTAAAGTGAATCATAGCCAAAAGTCACGGCCCGACAGTAATTTGACGACGGTCAAGCTTCAAAAAAGGCAAAAAATGAAAGAATGAAAGAAGTGAGATCTCTGAAATATCCCAAAAATGTTCAGATTCGACCTCGAAATGTTCATATTTGAAGTTGAGAGAGAGGTGGATAGCAAAAGGATTCGAAACTCAAGGTTTCGTGCTGTTTGTTGGCATATCAACCAGCCTTTTCACCATGTGCTCTACCATGTGCTCTATGCAAAGGCAGTTTTGGTCACGCCCATGATCACGTAAGTACACCCTCGAAACGAAATCGAAACGACATCGATGTCACGGTTCCTGAACAAAGTTGTGGGAAAAGGCCGGAACTCAGCTGTCAGTTCGAAGAGTTTTCGAAAATGAAAATGAGATCGTCAAAAAACGTAAGAACCATTTGATTAACAGTGAAACTGATAATCTCAATCCAACAAAAACAAAAAATTTTGTCTTCAGATTCTGTCTTGAACAACATTTCTAGAGTGTTGTACCCTCGGCAACGTCATCTGGAAATGGAGTGAAGATAAGTAGAACGAGACGGAAATGGGAAAGAAACTGTATTTGAAGTCGTAGAATACGAACAGTGGCCCAGAAACAATGCCTTAATTGTCGAGAGACTGCGAAGAGCAAAAAATGAAGAGGAAGTTTCAACCTGACCCAGCAAATTGCATGTCCAACCATTGAGACTCTAATAACCATGGATTTGGGAGAATGGGTGAATGAGGGGAAGAGAAGGGGAAAGCTTACTTATGGATCTTACCCCTAGGATTTGTAATTTAGTCTCAATTAGAGGATCATCCGTTAATGCCCAGAGTGTTTTTGTTCCTAGGCCTAGGGATTTGGCTCAAATATAACGCAGTTTAGAACGTGCTGATAGTGCGTCAAGAAAAATGTTGGTTCTAGAATTGGTTTCATTCCATATCAGCATACGCCACACGCCTATTTATTCAGAGTTGTTAGAGTATTCTATCGAGCAATGAGTTGGAACTGCAATGATCAGAGGAAAACAGAAAAGCCATTATAGGGATGGAAACTGTTTCGATTACCGTGTGCTGAAAGCTTGCATGGAAGCGGATCTGAGATTCGGTAACCAACTGTATGTGGGTCTTGCCGATGTACCAGTTAGGAATGAAGGGAAGGGAGGGATATTCTGAGTGTTTGAAGCGTTTTTTAAACGTTTGAAACTTCACGCACAACACGAGATTATTTCGGAGAAATCGGACTGAATAAACCGGAAACTACGGCGAGAAGCTAAAGGTGGATGAACTTGAGGGGCCTTTGTCTCGTGAACCCGCTTTATGATAACGCCCAGTTCCGTACCACAGTCGTTTCCGCCGTGCCCAATTATCATTGACGAAAACCACAACGCCACGGAATAACCAGCTCATCAGTGCAAGCCTCATTTACCTCGTTACCAGCCACCTGTTAACGAGAAACGGCGCTGATTATATGATCCTCTTACCGAACTCACAACTAGTTACCACATTAGCCCTCCGACAGATCGTCGCCTGAACAACTTTATAGATGGCATAGTGAGATCTCCCAGAAAATAAGTCTAAACCACGAGTTCAATCCACTCGGGTATTTGAAAATCACCAGGCTGCCTTATGACTTGATATCACAATGAAATTTTAGGCAGAGGGATAATAGTGGCTGTCAGGTATCCTACCCAAGGTGTCATGCTTAGGTATCATGTGAACAGAGCAGAATCCCAGGCAATTAGAAAACGACCTCTCTGACGCGTTGGCAAAGACGACCACTGAAAGTTATCGTTCAGAGGAATCTGTGAAGCTTTTTTCTCCTTGGAGGAGGTTTTCTCCTCAAAGTCATTTAACTTGTAGGGGACAAACTTGGAATGCAATCAAGACAAAATCATTGAAGCGGAATACGATAACGAGGAGATAAAAAACTGAACTGGCAACGAACAAAGCGATGACACGAATGCAAGAACGACCACGAGTGCAAAGAGCTTTGGCGCACCGCCCAACGTTGCAGTGAACCTGTTCACATAAGGATGGGTAGCCAATGGCTAATCAGGCAGGCTCATTGGAAGGTTTTAAGGGAAAATAAAAATTTAAACAAGGAAGAAGTCTACAAAATGTAGCAAAGGATAACCCAGAGTAAACCTATTCTAAAGGTGAGAGCCTGTTTGACGGTCCATCTTGTCGTTTTCCTTTTGGCCTAAGGGGGTCGTGAAAGAGGTGATCCTTATAATTCTTTTAGAGCATTGGTTTGGATTGAAGGTTCGGTTTCGGTCGATGAGCGGGGCCAAAANAAAACCAGTGTTTCAAAGTTCTCAAAGGTGTCATTAATCACCACTACAACTTCACTCATTTCGCAAAAGCCTAGAAAGGACCGGACAACTCCGCCCACTAGGGGCCTAGTTGACGCCTGCCGGACTTACGGTAAGCGATATTCAGTGAGTAGCATGAATGGCAGATGTCTACGTTCATACTTTCAGTAGTCATCCATTACATATTCAAAAACTTTCTAATGCCGAAAAATAGTAGTTGAAACAGGTTCTCTTGAGCCGAATCGTGGAGGCCTAAGAACGTCTAGTAAAAGAGGGCGATTAATCAGACTAAGAGCCTCTAATGATCCGTGAAAGGATAAGGAAAGCCGAAGAGGAGATCTGACTTTCTGGAAAAGTGATTCATGGCTGCTGATAGAGGAACCGACTGCACTACACAGCAGGACTGCAAGATAATGGAGTACAGAAAAGATCTTAGTGATAGAGATCTTCAATAGCAGTGTAGGAAAAACCCGAATAGACTCTGCTGCAATAACTCTATAGAAACCGTTCTCTTAGCGATTCCTGATGCTCGATGAAGATGGCAATTATATGAAGTAACTAGTTCTTATTAGTGATTTACTGCTATCGGCCGTACTATAAGTACATTACCCCAACATCATACACTCAAGTGAGCACCCATCCTGCGTAAAAAGAGGCAATTCACGACGAGATCTTCCGTCATAAACTACCCCGTTGACTATGGTTATGCGGTCCTAAAAACATCAACAAATATTGATTCTCAGGGAAGGACGAATGTCTCGGTACCAAGTTCCTGATGGGAACCACCGTTCTGGATTACCAGACCTCTCTGACGGGAATAGGAATACCGACGCGTCCTGCTATATAACAAAAACATATCCTAACATTGTAAGGACTGTTCAGGTCAAACATGCAACCCAACTATGCTGACTGGTAGACGAGCGTTCGAAGGGCATAACAAATGAGCATGGATCAAGGTCAAGAATTTCAGCCTTTGGACACTTTCCGAAGGTTGCAAGTGGAACAGGGGAAAAGGCCGCTGCAAGCGCACCCATGGATCATTTAACATGTCCCACATCGAATCAAGATTCTCCTTGAAAGGAGACCTGATTTGGAGGGCCTATGAGGAAAGGCCTGCGAAGTAACTTCTGCAGGAAATTGCTTAAATTGGGGATTCAACAACGTATAAGG